TAGAAAACCGAGTGTGTAGAAGAAGTTCTGGCTTCCAAACCGGATTGTGTTAGTGGATTTCTCCCCGGGAGTGGGGAGCGGAGACGTAGGACGGAAGGTCCGAACTCCGTGATCATCTTTGTGTGTTTGTGATTGTCTTGGCATCTCACTTGTACTTATTGTTCATATCATTCTTGTCGCCATTATCTATTGTTTACATTGTCCACTATCTTGTTTATCTTGTTTATATTTATATCACCCTTAGTTTATATATCATTGCATATATATTTCATCATATAGGATATATCACTTTGTATATATTGCTTATTCTTGCTTATAACTCTTGTATATCTATCTTGCAAGAATACAACTTGTTAATTAATTTTAATTGACATTTAATCGGATTAGATTAGCATAAGACCCTAATCACCCCCCTCTAGGGTCTAACAGGAAGCACCGCTTCAATTTTCCCCCCAATTGGTTCTTTTCAATGTGTAGGATAATTTTTGAGAGGGGAACTTATGGTTATATATATAGGTAGTATAATTAGTGGGATAATTATAACAAATTATCCCAATTCTAATTCAAGTAGAATTCTACTTGACTAACGCACCAAAAAAATAATACAGTTCTAGTTCTACAAAAGTTCTATTTGACTAACACTATAAAAAATATCCCATTTTCTAATTCTATGTGACTACCACCTTAAAATTTTATCCCACAGATTATCCCAGTTCCAGATTTAAGTTCCATGTGACTAACCCCCCTTTAAAGGCAAAAAAAAAGGTAGGTGTGGTTACATATGCAAACATAGGGGTTAAGAAAAATAGCTGTCGTGAGAATAATCATATCCATCTTGTTTACACAATTTTGTATATTTGTAAACAACTTTAATTAAATACCCTAAAATTTCTAAAAGTTGCACTTTAGTGTCTTTTGTTATGTGATGTTCTTGGATACGAAGAAAACCGTCTGAATTCTACTTTACCTTATTTTTAAAATTTTTAAGCACTTATCTGTAGTACTTAAAGCACTTCTTAGGGTACTTGAGTGCATGGCTTTAACATAAGGAGCATTAAAGTGCAAGATTTTTCTGAAATTACCGGACATTTAAGTGCATTTTACCCTTTCATTTTTTTACTGCCTTAATAAAGTTGCTCTTTTTAGGTCCCTATATATATAATGGAAGCCTGAACTTTTCTTTTTCTTGGTAGTACAATGTTTGAAGTTTTGAGCTACACTAGTCTCGGAAGCCACCTACCAACTTTGGCCCTCTTGTCACGTGGTTTCTTCGGACCCATAGCTTGCGACAAACAAAGACCAACCGTTGGCCCTAAAGCCTCAATCTTTAATC